CCGATGACAACTTATTGCGACATGCTCTAGCTTACGAAAGCAAAAGGGAGTGCCTTAGCCAAAAAGCAAGTGTGTAAGGGTATGAAACCTACATTACGTAAATGTCTTTGTCTGTATGCTTGTAAATAACGCCTGGTGGCACCTTACACGTCGTAATAAGTGCGTGTAACATTTCTCTGATCCAAGGCAATGCATGCGAGCGAAGTCATACAGTAGTTCGACCGATCATAAAACAGCTGTTCAGGAGCCTTAACTATAAACCAATCGAATAGCGGAGCTATACAGCTCCTTAGGTCAGATGAAGACTTAGAGCTCAATAACGAGCATAACTAGTTCTAAAGAACTGGTATCTATTAGTCAATGAGCGTAAAAGCTTAAGGTCACTGTTCTTAGGAACCGAATGATTTAGTGAATCTACGGCACTCAATGCTCAAGAATAGCTACCTTAGGGAGGTGTCGCTAGCTCTTAAGGATCAACGACCCGAGACGCCTCGCAAGGCACGTGTATTAGACAAGATCAAATGAAAACTGAGCTCTATTTACGTTCAACTCTCAAGAATATCTTAATCCTGATACTACCTAATGCAGACACTCATGTCCTAAATTAATATCTTCAAGGTCTTTCCTATCCTATCGCTGACATCCTATAGCCCATGTAAGCTGATACGATATTCTATATCTCTTTCAGTGAGATAACACCCCGTGTGACAAAGACACAGGGTACCGAGTACCCTTTTTTTGTAATCCCTATTAATTTCTGGCCCGGTCGCTTTTTCGCTGATAGTGGCTTAAAATATAAAAACATAAGATCGAGATTGTTGGCTTAGAAAAACAACTAGGGGATGCGAAAGCGGATTTTCTAGCTACCTAATGAATAATAGGTATTTGTGTTTTTACATGCCTGAAACGAAAACAAGGTCAGTATTGATCCACAGTTAAGCTCTTTCGTCACATGCTCATCGGGACTTACTGATAGCGAGAGACGTTTAATATGATTTGTGAATTTGAGCAAAAACCATTCACGCTAAATTTCAAGGGCAAACTAAAACGGGGCACCGGTAGCTAGCACTGCTCCAATACTAGCATTACCTACACTGACAACAGTGTAGGTAGTGCCGCGCGTTACTACACGCACATTGTACGCGCAGAGAAATGCTGGCTAGTGCTCGACACGATTAACAAAAGTAAAAAGTAAAGCTGTAATGAATAGAATCAATTAGTCATCAAAAACCTACATTGTAATCCTCACCTAATTTTTTTTATCTACAAAAGTGAATCGCAAAGTCTTGCTCAGCACTCATTGCGTGCGTCTATCGTTGATTACCGCGCTAGAGCTGACTAATATGATTGCTTAAATCATCCAATCGGTGAGCGTTTCTGAATATTATACCTTATGGAAATATTCACGACCATTATCAACCTTCATGATAATATTTTTTTAATTAACTATGATCAAGGTTAATAACAGGTTACAGGTTCACCACGTTACACGAGCTGCACGAATTGGAATTACAATTTTACCATAGCGACGGAGAGCATCATGTAGCAGATCAGATATAGATATTTTGCACTACCTTTGGTCACTTTTTAAACATAATAAATGTAACGCAGCGATTGTTTTACACTGTTCATCATTGTGAGTGGCACATCACCCGACACTGTAAATGACTAGCTTCGATAATACGTGGGAAGCCGAGACCGACCGCGTTTACAAGCATGTCAGAGTTTCACGCCATGAATGATTTACCAATTTTATTGGTCGTAAGCCATGACAAGTTGTACCCATCTGCCGATCAAAAATTCTTGTGCCTTCACGAGCTAGTCCATGATCCAATTAAGTGAGGATTGGACTCTATAAATTTGTTAATGAGGATGATCAGGCTAAGTCAATACTCTCGCTCATGTTTTTAGGCCGCCCAGTCGAACTATCGCTATTGTCTAGCTGTTTAAAATTGCAGTATTAAATATCGAGCTTAAACTTTTTTCTGCAGCGTCGTTTGAATGGCAAAATATATGCCTGGAGGTGTGCATTGCCATGCATTACTACTTTTGTAATGAGTGTACCTTATATATATCAACCAATGAGCAGTCTGTTATATCTATGAGGTTATAAAATCGATGTAAAAAGTATTATGAGATACTTGTGTTTGTCCTAACAAATTTTACATATTTGGTATTTACCATGTGCAGATTATCATGTAACGAAGGCACCCCATTAATTTGCTGATTTTGACTAGTTAAATTAGTTATGCATCGTCTTGACTTTCAACTACTCAGGTGTACGGATCTTGCGTATTGTAAATATATAGCTTTCGGTCATTTTCAATACGGTAGTGTAATGCAATTTTCTCAACAAGCGCATATTTCGTCTGGTCTGACGCCAACAAATCGATCTTCAATAGACTTGCACCTGCAATATTCGACAAAGTTGCAAAGCATTACGCTTGTTTTCAACCGCAATTGTTTCAACGAGCTATTCGTGTCTTGCTAAGCCTATAATTTAACTTGAGGTGGCCCTTTACCGGCAAGCTTGAGACGTGTAGTAACCTGATCTCAAATCAAGCGGATCTTTCTACGGTTGGTAACTACAAAGCGGCGCTAAGGTAGCCGCTTGTAGAACAACTCGGCATTAGATGTCAAAGCTGTCGTGAGTGAGTGCGCTTCATTAGGGTACTTAATATATTTTTTATCACAAATTGGGGGTTAACACCGCCAAAAGTAAGAGTCATTTTCCTAGTCTCCAGCCGGGACAACCGAGCTCAGTCTGCGAAGGCAATCGTAAAGCAAGTCACGTGTTGCTTTCGAGCACAGCCACTGTTGTACATCAATATGCAGATGGCTATCGAGGTCCGCTAGAGAGGAAGGTTATAATATGCCCATGATTGCTGCTACGCCTGCGATCAATGGAGACATTCGCAAACCTGTCCGCCATTTTGTTGTGAGCTCGGTATTGATGCGTCTGTCTGCCTACACCCAGTACATCCGCACATTTCCGCGCTTGGTAAAAGCCAGTGAAGGAAAGGATGATACGGCCGTCGATTCTGTCGCATCTGCTTTAAATTATGGCGCTGTGTCCTACCACATGCAGTGAAGCTATATAATATGTGACCGCTTGACATGGCCCGTGAATGAGATCGCAGTTCTCTGTTGTGTTGTTAGTCGTGTCATCTCGAGCGTAAGACATACTCGCTGCCCAGACTACCTCTGCCACTTGCGTGTCCGTTTCAACGCTAACCAGAACCGAACCGGGCCCACCTGGTCCTAAATTACCCCATGAGCCGCCCTCGAAAAAGAGCAGATGGAGGCTCTGACTGCAGACTGGTCCCTAGGCGCTTAGCCAGCGTTTCTGTCACCGATATCTTCAAAGCAGCTTGTACACTTAAATTGTATTTATATGCCAGATAACGCTAGTCGCGCAATGTATTGTCGACCGTTGCATTGAATATAGCCTGCAGCGTGGAAAAATTCGCATTTGGCTCGTGGTGAAGACGTTTGCGCGCGCACCAGATGGAATGGACCGTCTTCGCTGCTGTTAATCGCCATAGAGCGCTGGCCACCTAAAACAAAACGTTGCTTTGCTAACCACCAGCCGCCTATTGAAGGACGCACACCTTACTTCCACGCGATGGAAGGAGTGTCGACAACGACTTAGACAAAGCACGATTCGATGAGAGCCTCCGGCACGTTCTTAACCAGCCGCCGCCATCGGGCACCAAAGTCAGCCCGCGCTACCTTTGCCACCAGGCACTCCCAAAAACGTGCTGGAGTATAGCGGGTACGTCACGAAGGCACAATGTGTGCTGACAGGACCGTATACTTAATTATACCAGCCTTCAAGCTTAGTAGCCTTGATTCTGTAGAGCATCTGTACCGTGGTAGCCTCTGTGGTACAGCGAATCGAAGCGAAAGGGGGTGATCGTTGGGTGGAGTGATCTATGAATGCGACAACTCGGTAAGAAAAATCGATTAGCTGTCAAGCTGCTCAATACCAAGTCCGAATATTGCAATGTTAATATCGAACAGCATGATATCGAGAGTGAACATCGCAATACCGCAATCAAATATCATAGAAACAGGATCGAATATTAGTTTACCAAGATCGAGTCAAGGCGACAAGATCGGGAACGCATGAGGTGTTCAGGCTCGGGAAGATGACCTACACATCGGCAGAGATCACGGTCCTAGATAGTGATTGACGATCAACGAAAGAGATCGGTGATCGTGAAGATCGGTCGGGGAGATGTCGATTGGTCAAAGAGATTGACAATCAGTCAAGGAGATGGGTTATCGGTCAAGGAGATCGATAATTTATCTGTAGTGGACCACATTTGCGAAGGAACGATCAACGGAATGTAGAAGATTCGTGATAGCATATCCTGGCGTATAGACAGAAAATTTCGTAGTTTTAGCTATTGGTAAATTATGTAATGGGGCACCCTGAAGCTTATACTGATGACAGTACAAGCTACTTATTCCGACGACAGAATAAGGCGGTGCCTCGGAACTTCACGTACACTGGTACATGCGGAGGAAGAAGGTAAGGAGAAGCGAGTACTTGGTTAAAGTAGAAAGTAGAACTGTATTTATCATAGTTAATGTCTGTTAATAAACCCCCTGTTTATCCTCATCTAACTATGTCTAACTACAAATGTGTAAATCAACTATCTGCTCACCACTCATTGCGTGCGTCTGTCGTGGCGCGTCTTCGTTGGTTGATATAATGGCCTACATCAACCAATTAGGAACTACTCGTAAGTGCTGCAGAATATTGTCCTTATGACAATATTCTGAGAATTTAACTCTTATAGTTATATTCTACTAACAATTTCTTATAAATTGTTATGTAACGGTTCACCCCGTTACATCACCCCCCCCTTAACCATCAGTCACTTTAGTGACTGACTGACTAAATGGATACTCGTCCCAAATCTTTGGGACAGTGTTTTCACTTGTTGGTCCAAGTCCACTTTCCAACATGTCATCGCATGGTTAACAAGCCCATGCGATGCGCGAGCAAGGCCGCCGAGAGCGCGCCCGCAAGTCTCTGTGCGGACGCCGAAGCAGAAACTGCTGCAACCGATGTGTCATTTGATGCCAAAGCGTCTCAGTCTGTATCGCCTGGTGATGTAGGCGCTGGTCATGAAGACACTCATGTCTTCACAGAGTATGAGCTCGGTGTCTCATACTCTCCTGATATGGAAGACGGATCCGTATCGACGGCGATCGAAACCAAGCCGCCTGCCAAGCGTGGCATGGATGATGCTATGCGTCGTAGCATCCTTGGTTCGTCTGACGAATCAGATGAACCATCGCCAAAGCGAAGGCGCTCGAGATTGCAAGACTCGGGCGCTAACAGTGGTGTCGGTTCTCCTATTGACACCACTTCGCAACGAGGTGCTAGTCCTTCTGTCGGCACAACGCAGGAATAGCGGGACCGCAGTGTCTTGCGTCTCGCTCCTGAGAAGAAGGCATGGATGCCTCAAAAGTCAGTCATGGATCGCTTGTCGGCGACGACAAGTGATCGCTATCGAACACGATTGTTCGATTCATCAAGGATCCATCACCTTGACCCCAGCGCGAAAAGCTATCGCGCTGAACATGAACTCTTCATCGATGCTTTCTTTAGACATGGATGGTATAGTGGGAATCACAAGCGTGATGGTCCCTCACTACTTCAAGCGTGGAACGCCTACATCCATAACCTTGAGGTTGTAGGTCGTGACGTTTGGAACGACAAACTTATCAAAGCTCATGATAAGTTTGAAAAGCGAACCCCGACAGGTACACGCTATAAGCTGCATCTTCTGTCTAAGGAGGGTGGGTAACCCTGTCTTTCCTGGGGAGACCCGTGCCCTTGTTGTGTAAACAACTCAGCGCGCGCACCTAAGGAGGCTTACCTTCTTACTAGCCCGTGGTGGCGCGTACGCATCTCTAGTGAGATGTGCGAAGGGATTGACAACCTGAAATCCATTTACGACCGTGCCGGGAAGACTTTCTCCGGCGGTCCTTCTGCGGCACAGGATGTGCCACATCGTACTGCTCGACCAGACCCAGTACGTCAATCATCAGTTGGGAGCGGGGCTCCCAAGTATCCCAGTACGGGGGATAGCCGCGCCACCGGACGAGGTAACTCGTCTGACGTCCGTTCACATCGCTGTGGTTCAACAGCCGCTCAACCAGATAGCGCTGGCCACCGCGAGAGTCCTCCAATGGAGGTGGAGGAGGAGAGAAAACGCTCTCCACACGATCGTGAGGGAGCGTGTGTCTCCCAGAGCCTCTTTGATCGCGTAACTCTTGCGTTACGCGGCGACCTTGAACATGAGCGGGACAGGCGTCTCCAAATGGCGGACACTGTCTCGAAGCATCAAGCTGAGTTTGCTTTTGCTCAGCTTGAGAACGAGAGATCTCTGACATCTCTTCGTGACGAGCTAAGGGTAGCTCGTGGGATTGTTGATCGGTCTCGGGATGAGATAGCTGCTCTTCAGACCCTTGTTGATGCCCACCATCGGGAGCACAAGGCTCTCTGCGAGATGCTTGAGCGCAAGGGCGTTCTTCATCGGAAGAAGCAGCGTACTAATGGTACGGCTTAAGCCGACCAACGTAAGACGTGGGATGCGTTCGCATCTTATGTGGCAACTCGATCGTGTATGCATTGCCTAGGCGGTGCAATACACGAAATGGGCCGGTGTACTTGGGTAGTAGTTTACTGCTACCGAAGTTAGTCACTACATGCTTTGGTAGATTAACCGTAGACGGTAGGACTAAGTCACCTTTATTAAATAAAAGAGTGTTTGCCCTTCCATTCTTGTCAGCGTTTTGCTTTTGCTTATCCACCGCTTTGGCGATGGAGTCTTGCACAAAACGGACTACCGTTTCACGAGCCAGTATGAATTCCTCTGATGACTCGTTAGCTTCAGTGCGCTGTGACTGCACTGCAGCAACATCAATCTTTTCTTCAGTGAGGGCTTCCGCGCTCTCACTGGCATCATCTTCTTCGATATCGGTGTTATCGATATCGGCATCAAACGCAATGACCTCTTCGTCAGAGCGTGATGAGCGTGAACCAATTCGGTTTTTGCTCGCGCAAGTCCCTCCCCCCCTTAAACCAGAGTTACACTCTAGTAAGGTGGGCACACGCGGATGGCGTAAGCCATTCACGTAAACGGTGTATGTGTCGTGGACGCATGCACTGAGTTGTTAATGGCAAACTCTACCATTGGCAAAAACTCACTCCAACTCTTAAAGGAGTGTACGTATCCTCGAAGTATCTCTTCAAGGACACGATTGGCACGTTCCGTCTGACTATCTGACTCTGGATGATCAGATGTCGACATCTTCAAGCGCGTTCCGAGTGATTTGAACACGGAACGCCAGAAATCAGCAGTGAATCGTGGATCTCTGTCTGATACGAGTTCACGGGGCAACCCATGAAGTCGGAAGATGGTGTCAATAAAGACACAAGCACAGCCACTTGCCGTGATTGACTCTGGTACAGCCACTAGGTGTACCATTTTGCTGAATCTGTCAACAAATACGAGAATGCCGTATTCCCGCGTGCGTCTTTGGGTAACCCGAAGACGAAATCCATTGAGATGGATTCCCAGCACTCTGCCGGAACTGGTAGAGGCTGTAAAGGTGCACGCAGTGAAGGACTTGACTTCACTCGTTGACAGACTTCGCATGCGCGAACATACTTGCGCACAAACTGATACTGGCGGGTCTAGTGAAAGTCTCGACTCACCGTGAGATGTGTTTTCTCCCGGCCACGATGTCCTCCTATAGAAGCATTGTGATACTCGAACATGATCCGCAAACGCAGATCAGTATCATCTGGAATGACAACACGTGGTGTGTCACCCGAAACGGCTGTATAATACAGTAAAACATTGCGAGTAGTGTATCGATCTGCATCACATCGATACGCAGGCGACAATCGCTTCAACGATTCTCGAGATGGTTGGGAGAGATGCGTCAACAACTTCACAATTTCACCATCTTGGGCGTATGCCCGCCTCACATCATCATACAACGTTGTAGATGGGACTGAGGACGTCATAACCGCAACAGTGGCTGTCTCACTGTTGGTGTCACGACTGGTTCAAAGTCGGGACGACGTGAGAGTGCATCAGCGATGACATTAAGTTGTCCTGGTTTGTACTCGACCGTAAATTTGTATTCTGCAAAGAATGACAACCACCGCGCCGTTCGTTGTGAAAGGTGCGGGCTGTTCACTGCCGTGCGTAACGACGCATGGTCAGTGTAAACAATGAAGGGTCTATCTCCTAATAGATAGACTCTGAACTTCGCGAGTGCACACTTCATGGCAAGGAGTTCCTTGTCATGCACTGGATAGTTCCGCTCAGCTGGTTGCAGCTGACGCGACTGATAGCAGACGACGCGTTCAACGCCTTCAAGATCGTACTGCATTAATGCACAGCCGATTGCGAAATCGCTGGCATCACAGACCACATGAAATGGCCTGTTCTGATCGGCTATTTCTAGGACTGGGGATTGTATCAAGCTCTGCTTGATACCATCAAAGGAGCGCTGACATTCAGCGTTCCATAACCACATCTCGTTCTTTTTCAACAAACGAGAGAGGTGTACAGTCATCTCGGCGTAATTGCGTGAATACTTATGCAAATACGCCGCTAGCCCAAGGAATTTTCGAAGACCTTTGACATCAACCGGCACAGTCCAGTCGGTGATCGCCTTGATCTTTTCGGGATCAGGACGTACACCGTTCTTACCAACGATGCACCCAAGAAGTGGTATTTCGCTTGCTGCAAATATACACTTCTTGAGGTTTGCATACAATGGATGCTTTCGCATGATTGTAAGAACCTGTCGGACGTGGTATCTGTGAACCTCAACGTCCGACTTTCCATCCATAGACCGAATATGGATGAATACGTCATCGAAATAACTCGGCGCGAATTCTCGTACTGGTCTCAACAGATGTGATACACATCTGTTGAACGTGGCAGGGGCATTACTAAGCCCTTGTGGCATTACTAGCCATTCCCAGAGCATGCCACTAGGCGTGCTCACTGCGGTATAGGGTATGTCCCGTTCTCGCATAAGGATTTGATAGAAGCCATCCATCAAATCCATGGACGAAAAGATGGTACTCTTTGACATACCATCAATGATGACGTCCTTCCTTGGTATCGGCGTCTGAGCCGGTACCGTTGCAGCATTCAACTTGTTAAATGCATGCACTATCCGCCACCCTCCTGTTGCTTTTCGCACACAGAAGGTCGGAGAGCTATGTGATGAAGTTGATTCCCTCACATGGCCCGCAGCTGAACGATCGGCAAAGAACTTGTCGATCGCAAGTACTTGTTCACGAGGCAGTGGCCACTGCTTCATGACACAGTACTTCGAGCCTGTTTTAAGCTCGACCTCGTGTCGAATACCTTATCCTTCGGTAACTCGCACGGAACAGTTCCAGGGAATACATCCTTGAATTCAACCAAATCTTCATAGAGAGGATTTGTCTTGAGCGATTCCCACGATTGGGAGTCATATCGCTCAACTCGTGTCTTTTCATCGAGGACGCTCTCATCCATCGATGAACTAATGAGAATTCTCTCGTTCTCAGTAAACATTGTTGCTGACCTTATGTCGGCTACACACTCGTCTTCAGCGACGAGTACGCAGATCTGCTTGACTTTGCCACTACGCAGATCACGCAAGAACCTTTTATGTTCGAGCGTTGTCAACTGAGTGATCTCCGAAGTCAACTTCGGAGGCGCAATCAGATCAAGTGTTTAAGCGCCTACACTTGATCCGTCATTGACTATGACATTCAATGTCTCTGTCATTTCCTGGGGACTTATTCCCTCAGGCCTCAAAGGACTAATTTCTTCGGCTTCCCGGGACTTATTCCCTCGGGTTTCTGGAAACTTATTTCCGCCGTATTTGTAATATCGAGACTTATTCCCTTAACTTCCTCTAGCTGGGGTTGCGCAACCACAGCGAAATCCTCTCCGAAAGACTCTCCAGTCGATCTAGGATTACCGTTTCGCTTAACCTGAGCGATCGATTGTTTCTCTTCTAGATGTTCCCCGCTAGGGATACATCTTTGTCCCAGTCCACCCGACTTATTCGAGCGGCGGACCTTCGGCGCAGCCTGTGTTTCCTCACAGCCGCCGGAACTTTGCTCCGAAGTGTAACCGTTTGGTACACTAAGGTTTTGTGCAGTCGTACTAACGCCCATACCACAAGTGAGACTATCGCACTCACTCGTAGTACATCCACACGCTTGTGGACGCTCCAAAACGTTCATCAGATGGCCATCTGATGAACAAGCGGAAGGCATCGTTACTGTTCGATGTTGCCAGTTTACTCGTGGTTCGTACCTTCTGAGCCACGGTGTTCCAAGGATGACATCAAATTTGTCATCCAAATCCAATACGATAAAGTC